TTCCGCCGCTGATTCAATCAACTCGTTCTGTTCCTCCGTGAACATGTCACCTACACATTCCAACCAAACCGTGTAACCACTACCAAAGAAAGGTAAATAAGTGACTGATGAATAATGCTTTTAAGTTGCAGTAAATTTTCTGTCGCAATTCTTGATTGATATTCTCGGAAATTGCATTCAGACGAGAGGAACCCCAAAATATCTTAACATTGACGTCGAAACCACCGTTGCGAACCATGCTTTAAAGCCTTAATCACAGTAATACGAATTAACCTGAAAGGACAAGAACTCCGAGAGCAGAGAAGAGTAACGAAAAACTAACCGTGGGATGATTCGACATCGAGAATCAAATCAAGGGCATAATCATAGTAGGGCACTTGACTGCTCAATCCACAGAGGTTGAAGTCATCCTGGATGTAATCATCATCGACCTCGCAAAAGAACTCGTTTCCCCTAAGATTGCAGAACCAAGAGATCCAAGAGGTGTCATCTCCATCCGAACCGCTAACATCGGACTCTTCACTCTCCGTTTCAGATTCCTCAGCTGCACCCAATGCAGATGAAATTAGAAAGGAATATTATGATGTTAGGTCATTAGTTTTAGGCATTGATTGAGTTTCCGTGCAGTGGCCTCGTTTGTGTGAAGCGAAGAATGTGGTGAAGCAAATTGGAAGGGGTGAAAGAGGAAAAGGTACCTTGGAGGTTGGAATTTTTAGAGGTGGCGTTGATGGGGCGAGAGGTGGAGGGCGAGGATCGTTCGAGGTGCTTGTCGAGAACGTCGTTGATTCGCTTCCGATCCTCCGATTTGGAAGCAGAAACAGTGACGGCAACACCTCCTCGTTCTTTATACATCCCTAATCCCTGCCCTATCCCTAATTCTCTTCTTCTTCTTCTTCGTCTTTCTCTTGGGACGATTGAACTTAACCAAACATGGTCTAAGATGAAAAGAAAAAAGGCTGAAAGGGTGAAGGCTAGGGTTTTTGATTACCTACACAACACAGTTCTAATTATCACTTTAAGCTAAGCAACCCCATTCCTATATACCACTCCTCTTCCTCTTCCAACGTAATTACTATTAATTATCATTAATTAATTCACAATATTTATTTTTCTGAGATTATGGACGAATCCAGACATTAATGCAAGTCAAATTAATTTACAATTATTATTATTATTAATCGGTGCTTCTGACCATTTAATTAGCTGTTTCAATTATTGTAGATGTTTTCAGTTCTCTTTTAATTATTCCCACTCCAACAATTTCTTTTGTTCTTAATTGCATTTGTTATAGTTTTTTCTCTTTATTATCGGGTCATTCTCGATTTCTCAAATAAATGTATAATTTATTTAGCTCGCTAATTTCTAATGACATCAAGATGATTCTTTAAAATATCTGGTTAAATTTAAAATAATAATAAAATTAATATATATTATTAACATATATTCAAAGCTTCCTACTTAAAATGTTTTTATAAATTATATATCATCATTATAATTATTCAATTCAATAAATATGTTGCATTTAACGAATATGATATAAAAGTAAGTATATTCATATATTTATATAATATAATACTAATAAAAATGAATAACTATTATATTTTTTTTTTTGCTACAAAATTTCTATTATTTAATGCACCAGAAATTATTTATGTTTAGGATATTGTGATTATCTTCATATTATATTTATATGTATAGTATTTTCTATTTAAACTATAAAAAAAAGTCGCATGTTTTTATTTGATAACAACTTAAATGTGACATTTAAATAAGACAAATACACAGTATGTTATACGTCAAAAATGTTAAAGAACTCGTACGCGAAAACTAATTAAATAATTTTTTTGGATTAAAAGAATATGAATCACAATTCATAAAAAGAATAATGAAATTTAGTTTAATTTTGTTACAGGTTTTTTATATCAAGGATTGTAATTAAGAACTGTTAGCAGCATATTCTGTTATATAGAAATTTATTAAATTATAAAAACATTTAACAACATATTATATTGATTGAAATCTACGAAAGACATTTAATACAGTATAGTTTTAATATATTTTTAAATTTTTTAATAATTTTGATGAACGAGATAAAGTAGGTTGGAAAATTAATAATTGATAACATGTTACCAACACGTATTGTATTAATTGCATTCTAATTAATATATTGTCTCTTTATTAGAAAATATCTCAAATATTAAAAATTTAAATTATAAGTTACTCTTCTTTACGCAAATTAAATTATTTTAAAACATTAGTTAAAGTAAATGCAATAATAAAATGGACAGACTTTTTTTAAGTAACAATTTGTTCTTTTAAAATTAAGTTTGTTCTAAAAAAAATATTTTTGTATCTT